CTCTGTATCTTGATCACTCTCTGTATCTTGATTATTTTCTGCAATTTGATCATCATTCAGTTCCTGTTCTATAGTTCGTTTGTCGCATTGTGCTTCCTCATGGGTGCATATCCATTCCTTAAATGTTTCTATTAAAATCTTTAAATTATTTAAATCATCATAATTAACTACTTCTACATATTTATGGGCAAGTCCAAGCAATATTCCTTTAATTGATTGTTTGCGGCCAATCACTTTCACTGCAGTTTGTACAGGAGGTTTAATAAGCATGGTATTCCACGAATCAGCAACATCCAGAAAAGAAGGTAAGGATGGTGTTGAACTGTTCTTTTCTAATAATTTGTTTCTAACAAATGGCTCATCAGCAACCACAGTGTCCATAAATTCATCTTTGTACCAACGTCTTGAAATAAGCGAAATATGAAAATAGGCCTTTTCAGACTATAAAAAAACACAAAACCAATGATGGCAAACTACTCTACTATCAAATAATTAAATGCACGTGCATAAATGAAATCTATTTTTTAATAGCACTACATTCTGTCCAACATGTGAATTATATTCGATTGATTGAACATCCCAAACTTTAGCAACTAAGGAATAATCAACCCCTTCAAGAAGTTCGTCAAACCATATCTGACAGAAATCATACTCAAATTCAATCGGCCCATTATCAACAGCCTCTAATGTTAAATTATATAGATCCTCAAAACTAACTCTTTTGCTACGATACATTACTGCCTCATTCATTTGATCAGTATGTAACTGTAAAATTTTAGGCATCACATACTTCTGAAGAATATTATATATATTGAGGAAAAGTCGTCCAGGAACACTTGGTGTCATATATGATGCTGTCTTTTTATGCCAAGCCGCAAACCGACCAGCAAATTGTTCTTCTGCAACGTGAGATTCAATTCGATTAAACAGGACATGAAGTTGAGTTCTTTCATTTACAGTCTATTTGATTACATTGTTTATTGATTCAGATTGTTGGGTAGACGTTATCCCTGCTGTAAAAACCCGACCTGTAAATGCTTTTGCCCAGGTTGTTTTACGTGGATCAAGCTGTCTAAGTAGGTATTTAGTTGATTCTGGAAAATCAATCATAAGTTGTATTTAGTATTCCTCAAATATTTTTTTACATAAACCATTTTAGGCATGATAAAATACTTTGATAAAGTCTGCATAACAATCACCAAGAAGCTTTGCAAGCTGCTTTTCAATATTACGCCCAATGTGCTAAACACAATAGAGAAGGTAGGTATCAGGGTATATTTCGAGAACAACACTTTCAAGGCCTGGATCTGTATCAATCATAAAAGCTCCGGGCTGAACTCCTGTAGCTTCAATTGTTTGCTGTAGAACCCATCTATAACTTCACTTGTTTCATTGGGCAATATTGCCTGTGCAACAATTCGTGATTTGAAATTATTATCTACAACACCAAAAATGCTTAATAGCAGTTTATAGATGTTGGTCGCTGCTATATTATCATTTAAAATGATATCTGCATAATATCGCCAAAGTTCTCATTGTTCAGGGGTTATATAGAATACACCTTGTAATCTATTTGTTTCTGGATCAATTAATGATTGAATATACCAATCAGGATTCTTGGTACGTTTTTTTTCAAAGTGTTGGAAAAGCTTTGCAGTATCACACCCTGTATATCATAAGTACGACGAACCTTATACACGTAATTTTTCACATCATAGTCCACAATTGTAGCATCAGAAAATAACCCACGGAGTAACCAAACCTGGGATAAGACATCAATGTCACAAATTGTATAACTTTCAATAAGCTTCTTCATATCTGTGGTAAGTTTCCGATAGCTAGTAGCAAAGCTAGCATTTTCAGAAATCAACTGATGGTTGTGTTCAGGATGCATCGATATCAATTTAATTATAGTTTCATTATCAGGGCCCTTACTCTTGTACGCATTCACTAGAAAAGGACAACCAATCCTTTTTGAACCCTTATTTCTTTGCTTTTCGGGTAGAGCAGTTTTACGTGAGATATATTTACCTGACCATTCACAGTCCCAGGTATGCTGTCGTGGATCACAGCTATTATCTACTCATTTTTTCTGATTGCAAAGTTATTTTGACATGCATAATGTTTTAATATCTCCTGATATTCTTTTCAAGTTCCAAAGGTTTTTCCATGGTAGATCTCAATGCAGATTGGAGATAGGTGCCTATGTTGATAATTATCTGTATTTTTAGAGGTATCATCTGATTCACTAATAATATCAATGTCCTCTTCAAGTTCAATACCAGGTCCATCTTCAGGTTCAATACTAGGTCCATCTTCAGTATCCTTTTTACGTTCAATTGCAGGTCCATCTTCAGTATCCTTTTCACGTTCGAAACCAAGTTCACCTTCTATATCCTTTCAAATCTTAAATCATTATTGCTTTCAATTCCACCATATTTAATGTTCTCAATTCCACAATATGAACTTTCATGTATTAATGGTAAAATGTTTTCTATACTAGCCAAGGGTCTTCGTGCCATTGAAAAAAAGAGTGGGTGCCAGAATAATGAACGATTTTGTTGTACAGTTGGAAAAAAAAATAAAATTAAGTTAAAGAGAACCAGAAAAGTTCTGTTCACAAGAAAAAAGTTGCTTATTTAACTTTCAGAAGCTTTTAGCTACCATGGTACTAATCTGTCATAAATATATATATATATATATATATGTTACATATATATATTAAAAAAAAAAAAAAAAAGGCAAGAGAAAGTGCGAAATGCAAAATGCAAGAGCACAAGTGCGAAAAGCAAAACAAGAAAAAGCAAGATAAGAGTGCTTAAAGGCGCAAAAAACGAGATGAGAGAACAAAGAACAAGATATGAGAATGATCAAGATATCAGAACAACACAACTAGATGTTCAGGATCCATTTAAATATATTGGGAAAGGGTGCCCCTC